GAACCAACCAAGAGATTACAGAGATAACACTTTCAGCCTCATCTCCTGTTCTCTGTGGAAGGAAAAGGGGCTGGAGACCGAGTTCAATCACCAACGGCCAATGATTTAATCAACTGTGACTATGTAATAAAACCTCCATAAAAATCTCTAAATGGCAATTCCTGGGGGTTTTCAAACTGGAAAAACATGTTAATACTTTGAGAATGGCCTGTTCAGGGAAGGAGTGAAAGCTCGGCCCCCACAACCCCACCTCTAAATACCTTGCCTCTACATTGCTTTTGTTTGACTCTTCTGGAGTCAAATCCTTTACAATTAACTGGTGAGTTGTTCTAGAGATTTATGGAACATGACCAGGGGAAGGTAGGAATCCCAAGTTTTAGTCAGCTGGGAAAAAGTATAGGTAGCCTGGAGACCCCATTAGGGGCTGGTGTTTGAATTGAGGGTTCTTCTGGGGTTGAGATCTGGGCCCTGCATACTAACTCTGGGTAGTGTCAGGGTTGGTGTTGGAAATTTTAAGAACTGATTGTGCTGTTGTTTGGAAAAGACTCAACATCTGGTATCACAGGAAAAAAATAACATGATGTTTTATAAATTAATGAATAAATGAATGAATGAAAGAATATTTGTTATTTGATGTATCTTTGTGACAAGTAAATAAAAGTAGTTTTAATAGTAAAAGGAGCTTGCTGGTTCATGATAGTTTGAAGGTCCTGGTCAGAACTTGTACATCAGGCAGCACTCCATAGAGTGATTCAGTGATATCCAAAAGACTGTTTCTGTCTCTCCACTCCCTTCTGCAATGCCAGCTGCATCTTAAGGTGGATTTTCCAGTGTTCACAAGAAGGTATCTGGCCACTCCCAGCTACTGCTCATTCAATTCTAGCAAGATAAAGTGAGTGCTCTTGAAATATCCTGCCACATTTCTGAGAATCACTCTGATTGGACCAACTAAGGTCACATGGTCATCTGTGAACAATTGCTGTGCATGGGAATGCCCTGCTAGGTTTAGCATAGCAAAAACAGGTTCCTTTATTATCTCATGCATTCCCAGACTGAGACTGAGGGTTTTGGAAAAGGGAGAATGGAAACTAGAAACAAAAGTAGCTGATCTTCATTCTACTTTGTATGTGCTAACTTAACAGGTAATGTGGTTCCCAAATTTATTCATATGTTTTATGTACTACCTTACTATAAAATGTTTTGATCATCTAATCTCAAGCAAATGTTACATCTAGGAGAAGTCAGGTCTTATCAAAACTAACTCTGTAGTATTTTACTTACTGGGTAAACCAATGACGTGTTTGATATATTTTTTTAAGTTTCTTATGATATGCCTTATTTCTTTTAACTTTAGTTCTTCTCCAGACTATGTAAATATAGATATTTCACATTGCCTGCCTATCAATCAAAACTAACCACAGTACACATGTGTACTATTTTTTTTTATTCACCTCTTTATTTTGACCAATGAACAATTTACATTTTGGGTACTTTAGACAAATTATATATAAATTTCTTTTTGGAGAAGGATGAATCATTTTAGTAATTATACTTTTTATGTATTTGCACACAGGCAATCTTAACTTATATCCTTATAGGCAAGAAAAAGAACAAAATATACTTGTAGTATTTAACCTCTGCTCATTTTCTCATGTTCCTTCATTTTGTTCTTCATCTCTCATGCAAATTAAATTGTTCTAAATTACAAGAGAAAATTTCAGGTGTTGGCAGTTAAATGTAAAATTTGAACTGAGTGTTTGCGGGTGTAGCTCATCAATAGTGCACTTGCCTAGCATTTGCACGTAGATAAGGATAATCTAGAAAAGAAGGATAGGAGCAGAGTAATGTTACAAGTTCTTTTAATGTTTTATATAACTACCCAGCCTGTAAAAATATACAACATGATTCTGTGAATAACTAGAGTTATATTAGGACATATTGAGAGTTGTGACAGGCTTTTGCTACCCAGGTTCAGTAATAGGCTTTCAATAAGTGTATTAACTACCTCCAAATTCACAATCAGATGGATTATTGGATGAACACCTACACTTCATCTTGACCTTTTGCCAGATTTTTGGCTTAGTCGTTATCCAATGCACTACCCAAAAACCTTACAGGCCAATTCACATTCCATATTTTTAGCTCAGATGTTGGCAAACATTTTTCTTAAAAGATTCAGATCATAAATGTTTTATATTATGTAAGTTGTGTAGTCTTTGTCAAAACTTAACTCTGTTGAAATAACATAAATCAGCAACGGAAGATATGAAAATGAATAAATAAGGCAGAATTCCAGTAAAAACTTATGGGCACTCAAAGTTGAATTTCATATAACTTTCGTGTGTCACAATTATTGTTGTTCTTCTGGAGTTTTTTCAATCATTTAGAAATGTAAAACTCATTCTTTGTTTATGGACTATACAAAACTCAGCGGGGTAGATTTGGCTCATGTACCATAATATGCCAACTCTTGTTTTAGTCCAATGATGAAAATATGAGGTCTCTGAAAGGGAGATGAAAATGGTATTACCTAAACCAATAATCTGTACATTCACAAGAAAGTCTCACTTTACTTTTTTATACTTTATATCAGTTTAGTTATTATTTTATTTGTTTCTTTCATTCCACTTTCAAAATCAATGGATGGCCCCAAGTTCCTAGAATTCATTTTTCTACTTTCAAAGTTAAAAGGATTTAAGCTTTTTGTCCTTTCTTTTTTTGTGGTTGCTGGGGATTGAACCCAGGGCCTTATGCATACAAGGCAAGCACTCTACCAACTGAGCTATATCCCTAGCCCACAGATTTAAACTTTTTGAAGAAACATAGGATCACATTTGGTTTATAACTAGAGATCATCAGGGAGAGGCTGTATCTTTGTTGGAGCTTGTACAAGCTCAGCAAATTCTTGCTGACTCAGTGTTTTTCTCCTGAAACCACTTGCTGCCCACCATCCCAAGTTCCAACAACGCCCCTTATTTCTACTTAACCAGACTTGATACCTCAGAGTTGTTGGATTGTGAACATTCCAGAGGAATCAACATAAGACTTACCCTAAGGGACTCTCTGTAGTGGGTCCCATGGATGGAACATGACCCATATGTAGCCAGAGTGCTTTATATCCTCAGCAACAATGATGACTCAAAGAATCAACTTCTCCCAGGAATTTTCTAGAACTATCAGTTTGGACTTGGATTCTGTTGCTTGCAATCCAAGGAGTTCTGACTAATTGAATTGTCATTTAGCTCTTTTGATTCTTAATTTTCCTGCCCAGCCCTTCCTCTCCTACACTCTATCTAGTCACCGGGTGCTTTAATTTATGGGACATATCTTTCCAATACAGCCATCTCTTGCTACTCTAGTTGTTTCACCATTGCCTCCTCCTATTTGTCAGAGTAGTCTCAATGGTATAGATTTAATAAATATTTTTGAAGGATATGATTGATATATGTTACAATGGCAATGGAAGAGACTGACAAGAGTGCTGGGTTTACAATTAAGTCAAGTTTAGATAAAAATATTTTCAGCCACTCATCAGAATACTCATTAACTTCTTTAGGTATTGGTTTCCTTGTTTGTATTAAAGAATGACCTCACAGGGTTGATGTAAAAATTAAAAAGAAAATCATATGTGAATCAAACAGATCAAATACAAAGCTCCAGGAGCTGAGGGCTGCCAGCATTGGGTGGAAGGCACTGTGAAAGGGCCCTCTCATCCTTGAGGAGCATTGGTGCTCTTCCCATGACCTTGCTCATTTTCCATATGACTTGCTCATCATTTCTTGCTTTCCTGCTGAGGGGGCCCATTCATTGTGCCTTAGCTTCATTGTTCATAAATCTTATGAGGTCTCCTCTGGTTCCAGAGACTCTTCACTCTGGCCTCCAAAACTTTCTCTCTTCTGTCTCTACCCTACCTGACATCCCTCTGGTCTCCATCATGAGGTTCCTTTTTCTACCACATATCCTGTTCACCGTCTGCCAGATGGTACCCCAAGTCCTATGGTAGTAAACTTGGGTCGGAGCTATTGGCCTCACCCAGATCCTGTCAAAGCCTCCACTTTTTCTTTTTCCTTCTCAAAATTTTCACAAAACCTGTTCTCTCATTAAGGTATGCTCTCTAGGTGGATCCTCTCTACTGGATGGCAAGTTCCTGGGAGTGGTTCTTGCTGGGTATCTTTTGTAGCCACTTCCCCACTGCCCAGCTCCTCGTGGAGTGGTATGGCATGCCCAGTGTTTGGTAATTGTGAGTTTCATGGAGCGATGCACTAAGTAATTCAGGATCACAGACACTCATCCAGAATGCAGTCTGGAAAGAAGAGATGGCACTGAATATTTCAGGTAGAAGAAATTTACTACTAAGAATCAGTTATATGGATGTTATTAACCTCAGCACAAAAAGGGAACACTGAAAAAACACTTGACTAGGAACTGCAGGAAATAGCTATACCTCGGGGACTGGGGGGCATAAAGGTACAGGTTGGCATGGGAAGAAGGGGCCTGATGAAGCTGAGCCCCAAGCTACAGAAGGGTTGCTGCCCAACTGATGATGATGGTCCTTTGGAGGTCAGCAGGGGGACCCTGAGGAGCTGGTGCTCATCTGAGGAGGCCGGCAAACCAGTGCCACTCTGGGAGGGACAGTGACAGAAAGGCAAAATAAGAAGGGAGATTTCTTCTCCCTTCCCCTCACCTTCCTCCCATTTGCAGAAACTCCCAGGAAAGCAGGTGGTAAAGGAGTTTGGGGAATTAACTTTGAGAACAGAGTGTAGAGGAGTGAATTTGGAGCTGAGAGGGGATAGGCAAATAATCAGCTCAAATTTTCTAGTATGTCTCATTTTTTAGATGAAAAAAACTAAGGCTAAGAGGGTCTCAGCAACATGCTCAATGCCTCTTCTTAAATCTTTGATTCTGCGATCTTAATCCACCTTCTCAGAATTAGGACAGGCTGATTTCAGAAAGAAATAGTATGAAACTTGATAATTCGAAAAAAAAAATCTTTCTACTTCTGTCTGTTTAGGACTTTTTATGCTGATTTATGGCATAAAGCATATGTCACATCTGACCACAAATGTTGCCTTGAACAATTAGAGGAAAAGAAAAAGAAAAAGCCTACTGCTTTGCCAAGTATCTTGGTTCCAAGGGAAGATAGATACTTTTATAAGGTTCAGGGAAGGATCTGTGAGTCAACCAATCCAACAGCATAGGATTCCAATTATAAGCAAGATGTTGGGGTCAAGGGAGCCTCAATATCACTCTGAAGAATAAGCAAAACAATTTTGCAACAGAAACTAACATGGAAAACTTCTTCTCCAAAGTTGTAGCAGATTTTTGTTTGTTTATTTTCTCTGAGAAAGTGGGTATATGAAGGCAAAACAAGAACATCTCTTAACTAGAATATCTAAAAGCATCTTATCAAGGCTGAGGGTATAGCTCAGTGGGAGAGCATGTTTTTAGCATGCACGAGGCCCTGGGTTCAATCCCAGCACCCCAAAATAAACAAATTAAATTAAAAGCATCCTAGTGTCCCTTTTCTATCTACTGAGCTCCAGGGGATGGGGACTATCATGGGCACAGATCCCAGGGCAGTGACTGGCTACATGGATGGGAATTTTTAAATTCAGATGGATTCTGAACAGAATGAGAGAAAATGTTACAAAAAGAACCCCAGTCTTTGCAGTTGGATCCATTGTTAAAGACAGGGTGGTCCAGAGTGACTCCAGTGATGAAGTGTGGCTATGTGAGTAGATCCAGGACCTCCTATGTTGGGGGGGTGGGAGGATGTACCCTGAAAAAGAGACCAAAAATGCTGGGTAGTAAATAATTCTTCTGTGGCAAATTCAACCACCAAACAACGGTGACAAGAAGCTTGGATAAGGTTCATCAACATTATCCAGTCCAAACACATCCACCAGAGCATAGTTCTGGTCGGGGAAGGTTGGGAGACTTTCTATCACACAGCCAACTGGGAGCCCAGCACCTGAGTATGAAGCACAAATTATTTCTTCAGGAGTCACTTACAACTGGGGGGTAATGGTAAAAGGGAGGCAAAACAAGTCAACACAAAGACATATAACCTTCTTATAATGCACACTTACAGAAAAAACACAATGGCAGCCTTCAGGGAGTTGAATTTCAAAAACATGCAAGGACCAGAACATACTTTAAAAGGTACCACTAAAGGAATTTGAGCCTTTAGAGAAAACACAACACACTGATGTCTTTGATATTTGGTTCTATCAACAACAGACAAGATTATATTTATTGAGATAGAAATTTACATTAACCCTTTCCCCTTTTTTCTTTTCTTTGTAAAATCACATTGAAATGCAAAAATGAGTCAAGGCAGTGGCCTGATTTCTAGAGACTTGTGAAGCTGAGGCAGGAGGATTCCAAATTCAAGGCCAGGCTGGATAATTTAGCAAGAACCTATCTTAAAATGATAAAAGGGCTGTGAATATAGCTCAGTGGCAGAACACCCCGGGTTCAATGTCCAGTCCTGCAAATAGATAGATAGATAGACAGATAGATAAACTAATATAAAATAAAATGCAAAAATGATGCTTCTTCTCCCTCCTGATTTCTTTATGATCTAATAGACACTGTCAGAGAAGAAAAAGACACATCGATTGGTAATTTTCTTCTCATTACAAGAATGCATTCCTACTTAAACTACTATCTTCAGTCTTAGAATATTTCAATTGTGTATGGATCCAGGTTGGTTGGATATACCCTGAGGTCAATTTCTCTTTGAAAGGAGAGGATATTTCATGTTTGTTTTTTTGTTTGTTTTTTGGTATGATCTGACTTAGATTAAAGATCTAAAATTGCTGTGAACCAGAAAAGAAGAACATTTTTTAAATATTTTTTTAGTTGTAGTTGGACACAAAACTTTTATTTATTTTTTTATGTGGTGCTGAGGATTGAACCCAGCACCTTGCACATGCTAGGTGAGCACTCCACTGCTGAGCCACAACTGCAGCCTGAAAAAGGCATTTTTGGTTATATTGAACATGACCTCCCAACACTCAGGTTAAACAGAAGACAGGTTCGGAAGAATCGTAACTCACAGTTAGTGAATCATCATACACAGTAACACTGGGGAAGGCAAGGAAAGTAACAGATTGATGTGATTGTTGCTGCAAATATCATTGTGTTTCTGAAAGCAGCAGTAGTATTCTTTTTTTATGGATCATGATTAGCTTGCTATAGCTCTGGAGACTGAAAAATTATGTGAGCTCCTGCCTCCTCCTCTTGGGGAAGAATATTCCTGATCTTAAGCCAACAGGTATTGATTGTACTTACTAGCTGGGAAACCTTGGGGCAGAGTAGTTAAATACCTTCTCCCTCAATAGTCCTGTCTATAAAATAGATATAATAAGAAGCACCTGTCACATAGAGTTGGAATTAGGATTAAATGTGTTGATATTTTTTAACAATTTAGAACAGTCTATCACATAGTAAATGTACATTCAACCTTTAAAGTGGCAGGGAAAAGCCAGGTACAGTGGTACACACCTGTAATACCAGCAGCTTGGGAGGCTGAGGCAGGAGGATCTTGAGTTCAAAGCCAGCCTCAGTAATGGTGAGGTGCTAAGCAACTCAGTGAGACCCTGTCTCTAAATAAAATACAAAATAGGACTGAGGATGTGGCTCAGTGGTCGAGTGCCCCTGAGTTCAATCCTGGTACACCCTCCCCCAAAAGAAAACCCAAAGAAACAAAAATATAATAATAAAGTGGCAGGGAAGTAGCCAGATGCCTTCTTGGGTTGGGAGTGGGGTGGGAAATGGAAAGCAGTGAGGAGTACCAGAAGGCTGGGCCCGTGCCAGGGCTGGTAGGAAAAGAGAAACTCAAAGTGCCCTGATGTTTGTGTTGACTGGCTTTATGTGCTTCGCTGTCAACTTGTTTCATCCCGTTTCATTTCAGCAACCAAAAAAAACAGGCTGCCAACATCACACACCTTCAAGTCTGTGAAAGAGATCCATTTTGGAAAACATGTGAAAAGAAGCCACCTCCATCCCCTTTACTGCCAAGTTACTTCAGGGTCATGGGGGTGGGGACAGGAGGGCAGGCAGTGAAAAGCTGGGAGTTAAAAAACAAAGGACATGAAAAATGGACCTTCCCTCTGCAACCCAATGAAAAACTTAAGACTGAATTCCTCTTGGATTTGGGAATCTCTTATAACTATTTCTAATTTTCTATTTCTCCATCATAAACAGGAATAGTAATCTAATTTTGCATGATACATCAAATTTTTAATGAACTATGCTCCACTTGATCACTAAAATGAGCCTTTTTATTATTGATTGATTGGTGGGACTGGGGATTTAGCTCAGGGGTGCTCTACCACTGAGCTATACCCTGCACAGCCCAACCCGTGTTCCTTTCTTTCATTCTTTTTCTTTTGGGGGGGGGGCGGGGGGTGGTTGTTTGATTTTTGAGACAGAGTCTTGCTAAGACTGGCCTTGAACTTGCATCCTTCTGCCTCAGCCTCCTGAATCACTGGGATTACAGATGTGCAACACTGTACCCAGTGAGACAAGCCTTTGAAAACCCTTATCTTTTGTAAGATGTGGATAACTGAGAGACAAGGAAATTTGGCTTACAATCATGTAGCTAAATGGTGATAAAACTGACTCAAATTCAAGTCTTCTGACTAAGAAATTTTCTTAGAAGACCTATATATGATGATTGTGGCAGATGCTCCTTATTAATAATATTTGTTAAATTGGATGGAATCATACTGAATCAGACTGGCTTGCAATGAGTTAAAAGGACTATGGTGACATGTGCTTGGGGCCTGCTCGAAGGACCAAGCTGCAGAGGCATTTTATCCAGATCCTCCTCTTCCTCTTCATCTTCCCTTTTCTTAAGTCTCTCCTCTCTGTATTAACTGAGCCGAGCTGAATGTATGGAGCTCAGGGTATGATGTTGGAATAATCTGGACAGTATGGGAATGTCTTTGTGAAAAAAGGTACTTTGGTTTCATGATTTCTTTTTCTTATCAAAAACTGATTCCAGTTAAAGAGGATGATTTGATCTTGGCCACTAGTCATGGCACTTTCCTGGGGCTGGCAAAGTGCTCATTCTTCTTTCTGAGTCTGTTACAATCTTAGATATTCTTTTTTTTTTTTTTTATTGGTTGCTCAAAACAGTACAATGATCTTGACATATCATGTATCATACATTTGATTCAAATGGGGTATGAATTCTTAGATATTCTTAAGTCACTTTACTAAAAACAAATAAGATCTCAAGAACCTGGAATGGGGAAGTCAGGCATGATTGTGTCCTATAAGAAAAGTCCAAGTGAAATGTTACAATAAGAAGACAAAATCTGAAGCTCAGATTCCTTGCCCCATTTGCCATCCCATTCCTCTGAATCTCCCATCTTGGGAATTAGCCATATCAAAGCAGCCAAAGAAATAGAATTGTCAACAACTGCAGTGGGCCTAGACCCTTGAGACTGGAAGGAATCTGTCTGTCTAGAAGGCTGTTTCCAGTTTGGGAAAATTATCAGGGACTTAAATGGCTACAATTCAGGTAATCCCTTTCTCCTCTTACCTAAAATTGAGCAATGAGTATGTACCTAGTTTCACAAACTGTCCAAGATCTTCACATAAAAAGAGCACGGGGTGCCGTGCTGCATTAACAGCCTTAAAATCTTGTGCACCCACTGTATCAGATAAAATCATCATATTTATAATTTCAATACTTTTCATGATTTTTTTAAAAAAGATAATGTAGTTGCATTTGCCTGGCATCTGTGGTAAGACTGGACTTTTATTTTTAGAACCCGTTCTGGTATTCTGATACAGATAAAGGAATATATCAGAGAGATTCATCGAGTTAGTAAAATAAAGGAATGGGTTTATCTGGAGTCTCTCGGGACCTTTCTAACTCTGACAACTAGTGTCTTTATAATTCTAAGTCAAAGCAGTAGTGCTGTGGGTTCCTGGGTGCAGGGTGGATAGCAATGGAACACCATAAGAGCCCAAACTGAAAACCTAAATTAAATTACATTATTGAATTTGCAAGAAGCAGTTAAGGACTTCAATGTGCTAATTTACGTCATTGTTAATAATATTTAGTTAGGTATAAAAGATGCTCACTGCACAGTCTTTATATTAACAAAACTAAGCAAACAAGCAAAACCTAAAAACATCATATGTGCCCCAACAAAGGGGATTCTCTCAGTGGCACCCTACAATCATGAAAATCAGCGAGTATGAAAACTGTAGCCATGTGGGAAGATGCTTATGATATACTTTTGGAGAAATCCAAGAAATAAAAATGTATTATACTAATTATAACTAGGGAAAATACTGAAAGGAGAAATGGGTTATTTTTAAATATGCATAGAAAAATATAGAAATCTAACATTTCTATAAAGCAGTGTTTTTTATAATAAAAAGGAAATTTCTATATTAGGTAGAAAAAAACAATTATTTATATTTAGAAATCAATGCAAATCTCTACCTATACCACATCATTTCTTATTGCAGTAAAAATTCCAGGTAATTATTTTGTATGATTTATTCAGCACCTTTTTCTTCTCCTTTTGTGGTGCTGGGGATTGAACTACTAACCTTGTGCATACTAGGCAAGTGCTCTATCACTGAGCTACACCCCCAGCATCTGTCATTTTAAGAATTGGATAATATTTGGCTAGATAGCAAGAAGTAATTAGGAATATAATTAATCAAGTTGCTGTTTATTTTTCCATGTCAAAATTAATCATTTTCATTTTTGTTTTGTTTTGTTTTATGTAGGAGGGATTTTTGTTGTTGTTGTTAAAGTCAATAAAATTCACAAGTAAATTTATACACATTTCATGTTTCAATCTTACAAACTTAGTTTCACAGCAGAAACCTAGTCTCTCTCAGTACTCTCATTTACTTACATTCTGGAACAAAGGCATAGAATTTTTACCCAAGATAAACCAACGGCACTATTTTCAAACCTACCCATTATTCAGTCATCAATTGTTTTTGTATGCTAGAGACAGGAATCACTGCAGACATGATTTGAACAATTTGAGAGTCAAGAAATTTTATCCTTGCCTGAGAATTAGAAATTTTTCTCTTCCATGATTCTTCCTGCCCTTTCCCTCTCCACCAATATGCAACATGAAAACAAGAATTGTTAGTATCTTCTAGAGAGTCGCTGAGGTATTTGACCCATTCTGACTAATCCACTGAATGTGGGAGTGTTGGGTAGTCATTTGTCAGTTTTCTCCAATATGATATCATGCCAGAATTCTTGAAACAATAGCTGGTCTAAATGCCATAGCATCCAGAGTAATGTGGAACTTGTCAATGACCATTTTGTTGTTGCACATAGAACATTAGTCTATTGAATATGTATAAAAAAGTAAAATATGTGTTGGTACTTCTGGGAGTCGATATTTACAGCTCTGGTTTCACTGTAGCAGGCAGACAGTGGGGAACTCAGATGCTCGGACTTTTCCTATTGTGTGAAAACATTTTTGACCGTAATGTCTCTCGAAGGAGCTGCTCTAATTAATGCAAAACACTCTATATACTACTTAATAAAAACTAAGCTTCTTCGAAGTGGCGCAAAATTAAGATGTTTTGTGGAACTGTTTTTCTATATGCTACTGTGTGCTGGGATCATCAGATGAATACATTGTATTTCATGAAGAAGAGAGAAATCTGTAGTCAAAGCAGAAAATTTGGAAACAATTATTTCTGTAAAGGAATGACTGTCTCTGTACTGTCTACCTTAGTAAATCCACCTAACAGGGAACACTCTGGGGAAGAAATTAACTGAGTAAATAAAAATATACAGACTTCAGAACTTGAATTAAAATCACAATGTCTCCAAACAACAGATATTTAAAGAATGCTTTTTATCTGTGAGCTTAATCTCCTCTAATTAATGCTCTGAGAGTTTGTACCTTCAAAAGCTTGCAACTGATTTGACACCAGTTCTTTGCATACACAACCAAAAAGAGGCCATCCCAAAGAAGAATGCTTTGTCCAAATATATTTTCTGGAAGGAAAACCTTCCAAAGGATGTTTTATTTAGATGACTGGTTTATTTATTTTGGTGAGTGTGATGGCTTCTGGTTATAAAACAACCAACCATTTCTTCAACATCTTTTTTGTATCAGCAGGTCTGAGCTGCTTTCCTCCCTCCTCTCCCCACTCCACTCACCAGTTCTAAGAGTTAAATGAAGATAGTGTAAACATTACCTTATAAATCTTCAAGCTAAAATGAAAAGTGTTAAAGGTCCCAATATACTCTAAAAGAGTACAAGACTGAATTTTTAAATGCAATAGAAGATTCTCCAAATACTTTTTCATTCACATTGAATCTCATTTATACTTCCCATTTGGGAAAAACTGGTTCATTCCTCTGCAGTTACAACATCGAAAGCTGAGACATTTCCTTCCTTGGTTTTTCCTACTATGTCTTCCAAAGTAGCTCTAATAGTCAGTGTGAGCTTTCCAAGATGTTGAAAAATTCTATAAAGTTCACCAAAGGGGGGAGGGAATCTACCACTGAAGACACAGTACAGAAGTATGCCCATAAGATTATCTCAGTTAACCTGACATATGTTGCTTAGCACGCCCCCCCTCCATCCCATTCCATCCCAGGGATGGAAAATGAAAATGCAGAATTCTGACTTGAAAATTATAACCAAAGAGTAACTGTTCTACTGATTTTAACATAATGTGTCTAACCATCACAGTGTTCACATAGAGTAGAAGTGTGTGTGTGTGTGTGTGTGTGTGTGTGTTAGAGAGAAAGAGAGAGAAAGAAAGAAAGATGTAAGCACAGAGGCCAGAAGACAGACTAAGAGAGACAGAGTAGGTGAAAGCTCAGCTTTCAATTCTGTTGTGACACTAATGAGCAGATATTAGTTGAAAGAGGAAAACTTGTTGACCCAGATGTGATTGTGGTCTTTGAAAACAAGCTATATAAGTCAAGCAAGGAGGTAAAAGACTGGGAGATGTGTGCAATACATAAGGATTTGCTTATAATAAACTGATGATTTCAGACCTAATTGCTAATTGATCACAAAGTTCCTTGGGAACCCCAGTTCCATGTTGCCCATCCTCTACTCACTTTCTTCCCCTCCCCCATTTTTTTCAGAAGCCAGAGGATGCCTGCTGCATCTTACACTGTAGTGCAAACAGATCCCCGCAAAGAGAGAGGAAGATAAAATGAATTTAAATTCCAAAGGGGTTCCAATGCCGGTTTCCTAGTCCCCGAGTCAGCAATGTGTTTGTGAAAATTCAGCCTTTTTGTCTCCCAGTAAAAAGGAGCTAAATCTACATCGGTGGCCCAGTCTCGGGTTGCTATTCTTTGCATTTTCTATTCGAGTGAATGAGAGTGAATGAAGTGGCCGGGACCCTTCATTTGATCTACTCAATTGCATAAAGTGACAGAATTCTAATATATTTGTTTAATGCTCTTCAATGGGCTTTCACTTTTTTTGCTTGCAAATGAAGCATCCATGGGCAAAGTTTCATCCCCCTTTAACACTGGGACATATTTCATAACTCAGGCCATGGTTTGAAGTGATCTTGAGAGGAGTTTTAGACTCAAAAAGTGGAAAATAAAGAAACAGATGTGAAGTTATTGTAAATTCCTAGAGTGGGCTCTGGGGCTATTGTGCCCCCACGGCGGGCGGTCCAGGGGCTGTCCCTTTCATGCTGTAATTGAAACATATTAATTAGATAATTTGTTGTTAGTTTAAACGAAACAAATGCATCCCCTTTGAGGCTTCACAGCCGGTGGGTTGGGTTGTTTTTGTTTTGTTTTTGTTTGGGTGTCTCTGCATATGTGGCTTTTAGAAGAAAAAAATTAATTGACATTAATAGTAAGATCCGGATCCTTTCTGTGTCCTAACTGAATACCTCTGACAAAGAAAGTTCTCTTTTGTAAAAGTATAAACCATTCCTCAAACCTCCACTTGCACTATCTCCCCATCCCTAACCTTTCATAAACTAAGGTAAAACCTACTGTCCACAGCACTGGGTTTTTCCTCTCTCCCACTTTCTTGAGAACTGGGCCAAATTCATGCTTGCAAGACACTTGGTCGTTCTATATTTAAAGGCATTAACCCCAATGCTACAATATTTAAGTCACTCTGAGGTTCATGCACTAGCAGTACTACTTTGAGTCTTCAGGCTTCTCAAAACCCCCAATCAGAAGAAACAGCAATAACTTCTCCAACTTCCCTCTTAAGAGTGCATGAAACCCATCCATCGTGTGAGCATTTCCTCAAATGACAGAAAGAACTTTGAAAATGCAATTGAATAGAGAATCGTGTAGTTTAAAAAAAAAGTATCAGAATAACCAGTTTACAAATCAAAAATCTAAATTGAAAAAAAATCAATACTGCCCAGATTTACAAAGTAGAAAATAATATAACTTACCTTGGTTCTCAGGACAAGACCTTTAACTCACACCTTCTCACTGTGTGGTGTTATCTCCTCCGGTTTTATTTTAAAGCTGTGCGTGTTGACTTTGGACTTGAGCCAGGTGAAAAGATTTAACATGACAAAGAGAGCCACAGTTATAAGCTTCCTTATTTGTGGGGCACTTCAGCTAAACAGTGCACACATCTCCAAGCTGAGGCTGGTGAAGGCAGAAATGGAGTGGGGTAGAAATGTATGTTTGGACTGCCTTTGGACTTCTTATCAAGGTCAAAATATCATCGATGGATGGGTTTTTTGTTGTTTTTTACTTTACTCATTCAACTTTGTCTCAGAAAAGATGCCTGCAATTGTGAAAGGAGGGTTCACAATGCCCAAGTTATTTCATTCTTTGCAATACACCATGACGAACTTACCAGCTGAAAAGAGCATTTTCAAGTACTGAGTTGAAATCCCTCCTTTGCTCAATAAAATAAATAAAATCTATAACTTATTTGTCTCTGATTATATGTACACATCACTTATTGAGTCTAGCCCTCTTATAGGAGGAATGTTTTACCTGACTACATAAGCTGATGGTTTATAAAATATGAGGCCCTTGTTAGCCTTTTATAGACCTTCATTCCCAGTTCAAAATCAGTGTTACTAAATTTGATGAGATTTCAATATCCAGAGATGCTCTTAAGTTTCTTTTGCAGGAAACTATGAAAATGTATTTAATTTTTTAAAATGTGAATGATTTCTTCTTAAGAACTAAGTTTCAAGAGTTTCTTAGCCCAGGGTGGCTCAGTTTTCCAGGCTTTCTTTGGCTGATCTTGTTGATATAATTGTGAATTGGGCTTGATGAATGAGTTTAGTTGTCCCCTGTCTGACGAGCTTTAGTAGCTTCATGCATTTTAATCAGTCCAATGATTCATTTATTTTCCACTTTTTTTTGGGGGGGGGCTGTGTGGGGGATCCTTCCTTTGGGGAGAAAATGGTCACAACTGGATTAATTACCCTTAACACTAATCCTAAATTGTTTTTCAGGTAGTCATCTAAATATATAAGAGTCATAGGTGCTTATTATTCTCCTTATGGAGTATATGATTGTGATTTATATGTGGCTTTCTCTGTGTTGCACAAGGGTCTCTTGTTTAATCATTTTACACAGTAAAGTGTTAATCACCAGTTAAGTTTCTCTTTGTCTTGTAACTTCATTAGTGTAATATACACCTCACTCTGGAAATATTATTGTGACCCCTTCAATAAAATGCCAATTAACCTTGAGCCATAAATTCTTTAAGATTTTTAATTTTCTGCAAAAATCTGAAGTAAATATTTAAAGTCAGGCATTTTAAAAGAAACTTCATTCATGCCTTCAGAATAAATGCACCAAACATTATTTTCCCACAGGAAGGAAAGAAATCTATTCAGTTCAAATTGAACAGGTTCCTTGGCATGTCAGATGACCCATTAGGTGATTTCTAAAAAAGAAAATTTCAACAACTGCAATAATTTAAAGCAGCAAGGAAATTAATTCTTCCTCTAAATGAGATGCATCAGAACATACATATTGAGTAAGCAAGTTTGTTTTTAACTTTTAAATCTCCTTCTACCTGATTTGTATATAAGCCTCATATTAAGTCCTGTGTATTCCATAAAATGTATATTTTAAGAGGCAAAATACACAAAAGTACTATTTTTTCAATTACAGTTTTTCTTTCAACACTACACCTGAGCACATGATTTATAATAGACATACTTGGTTTCCTCTTTCCCTATGCACAAATACCTTCAAGAGTCCATCTAGAAAATTCGTCCCTCAATCTGTAAGTTCACAAGAGAAGGCTGGATTGTTTTCACAACATAATACCAAAAAGGCAAACTACTCGATGTATTGCAGAAAGTATACTTAGGGGAAACACCCTATCCATCTTTTGGAAAGTTGTTGTTTGTGGCAAATCTTCAAAAACACACAAAACTAAAATTGGAATTTACATATTTTAATGAGAAAATATTATTTAGACTAGGTCATAATTTAATGTAGACACCTTTTTAAAATTCTTTGTCTTAAAACAGGCATGCTGGGAACAAGAACATCAATATTTAAAATGCCATGCTAATTCTGTACAGAGAAGAAGAAAAAATGAAAGATAAAAATTTTACAGCTCTGATGACACTACAATTTTTTTTTAATTTAAGCAGGTCACACCAGAACAACAGTTCGTTTTCCAGCAAATTACCTAAGACTCTAAAGGAATATAGCAAACAAAAGTGCATTTTACACAGTGTATAATCATTCCTATTCACAACTATTTACATCTCTTTGCAGCCCTTTAGCTTCGTGGAAAAGTTCTTGTCACAAACAGAAAGACTTGTCCAGGGGAAAACTATATGTTGACATCCCCTTCATGTTACCAGTCAGCTTATCTAAGTTCTTCCAGGGTTGCCCTTGGTGCTTAGTTGGGATCATTTCATTTTCTTTTCTCTCTTTCTGTTCTTTCTCTCTCTCTCTCTTCAGTAAAATAAATAGCTAAAAGGTCTCTAAGTAGTAGAAAGTTAACATTCCAATTAACTTTCCCATCCCCCTTTCCCTCCCCTAAACCTGGCCTGAAATGAAGAGTAAACATTCACATTACAACAGGTACTTGTAAAGTGGGCTTTGCCCACTAGCCCGCCTAGCAAGGCAGATTCAAGTTCACTGTTTACATTTTACCTGGAGCTTTGTAAACAATACAACGTTACTTTTATTTTTATTTTGCTTGTGTTAAGGACAAGCGTCCCTTTATCAACTTAGCAGCCTCTCTCTTAACTCCCAGCGCCCGGAGCCTCTGGCAGGAAACAGAACTCAAAACAAAACAAAACCCATCTCCGCAGAAGCCGGGGAGGCAGGGCTGCAGCCCAGAGAAGCTGTGGTCCTCCCCTTCGAAGCCTGGTGGGCGGAGGTGAATAGGGTAGGAAGATTTGTGGCTCCTTTGCGCAGAGGATTTCCAAGACCTCAGGAGATCTGGCCCTCCACTGTGCGGCTGCAGCCCTCCGAGGGGTTTCTGTTCCAGAAAATCTCCGAGGCTGTTTCTCTAGTCTTAGTCTTGCGTCTAGAGTCCGGTGCTCAGCGGATTGGAACCCAGGGAAAGACGCTCTTTTCTCCGCGAAGGCGGACGGCAGGTTTTCCCCTGCCAGTTAAATGGGATGGGGGGCCTTGGGGGGAGCGGCTGGGCTCAGGAAGTCTCCGCTTTCCCCTGGTGTAGGGGCGAAGACGACTCCCTCGCGCCTTCCCTCAAGTTTGTGTTTTGTCTCCCGGGTCCAAAACAAAGTTCTCTTGGGAAAGAGAAAGAGAGAGAGAGAGAGAGAGGGTTGGCCAAGGTGAAATGGACCAGATAGAATAGCGGTCCTAGGTCGGAGAGGGCAGGACTGGGAGCTGGGGAAGGTGTGAGTTGATGGGGAGGGGAACGAAGTGGATGCCGGCCTCCGCGGGTCAGTGAACCGCCACCGAATGCAAGGCGGAGGCCGGGCTGGTAAGCGTTTCGCTAGGGGTGGCGGGGCTACTTTGGCTGGTGGCTGTTTGCGAGGAAGTGGGGCTGAGCGAGGGCGGCGAGTTCGACAGCAATGTGGGGATGGGCGCAGGCAGGGCGGGCAGCGCAGGCACCGCGGCCGGCGTGGGTTTGATGGGCACGGGGATGGCCGGCAGCGTCTGGCCCGCTGCATGGCACAGCGGCTTCAGAGGCACTCCGTAGGCGCTGTAGTCGCCACTCGTCATGGAGATGGGGGTTGTCGAGTCGATCATACCCGCAGAGCCGTACACGTGTGGCCAGCCAGTGCCCAGAGAGCTGCCCATGGTAGTCAACTGGTTGGGGAGCGGGTAGGCAGCGGGCACTGGCTGCATGGCGGAGAAGGCCAGTCCCCCAGGCATCTTGTATTCCCGCGCGATGATGTTCTCGATGGCGAAGGGGTGCTTGAAGCCTGAGGGCTGCGCCACGCCGCCCAGGTTGTAAGCAGCAGCAGGCATCTGCGGCAGGTGTGTGCCGGAGGCAGCGAGCGCGCTGAGCCGCAGCTTGGCCTGCTGCTGCAGGTACTGAGCCGCGTCGGCCGGCTTGCTGGGCGCCAGGTGGTCGGACTTGAGCACTTTGAAGCGCTTGCGGCGCCGCAGAAAGCTGCCGTTCTCGAACATGTCCCCGCAGCTAGGGTGCAGGGCCCAGAAGCTGCCTTTGCCAGGCTGATCCGGCCGCCGAGGGATCTTAATGAAGCAGTCGTTGAAGGAAAGGTTGTGGCGCAGGCTGTTCTGCCAGCGCTGCGTGTTCTCCCGGTAGTAGGGGAAGCGGTCCATGATGAACTTGTAGATCTCGCTCAGCGGTAGCATCTTCTCTGGCGAGCTCTGAATGGCCATGGCGGTCAGGGAGATGTAGGAATAGGGCGGTTTCTGGTCGCTGTACGTGTTGCGACCTGGCCGAGGCATCTTCTCGTTCGCCCTCTTCTTGGTCTGGGTCCGCGCGGGCCGACGGACTACTCGGATCTGGGGAAAGGGAAGGAAATGGAGGGGAGGAGTAGCTTGGATGCACAGGTTCCGCGAGGTCCCAGGCCAAGTAACAGGCTTCGGGGAGGCGGGTAGAGGCTGCACCCCTGGATCCGCCTGCGATCGCACTTTTTCGCTAGCAACTTTGCGCACTCGGCTGGACCTGGCCAGGGGTCGCAGGAGGGAAAGCCGGCTAGTGATGGGAGGGTAGCAGGAAAGTAAGTGGGACCTAGAGCCAGGACAGCGCATCGACCTGAACCCAACCAGGGACCGCGGGAGGGGAAGCCGGCAAGTGGCGAAAGGGTAGCAAGAAAATAAGTGGGACCTGGAGTAAAGACAGGATCAGGGATGCAACGGAGAGCTGCTCACCTTAAAGTTGCTTCAAGTTGCGCGTCCGCATCCGGAATTGCGCCGCTTGTCGCAGCGTCCCTCCTGGCAATCAGCCTAAGCGCAGTAACCTGATTTGGGTTGAACTCTACTCGAACCTGGGCTCTTGGGCTCAGCCCTGCAGCACCCCGCGCCACCGTGTCCGCGGCGCTCCGGGCCGAGCTTCCTGAGGGCGACCGAGCTCGGTTGCCGAGTCTGGGCGCCGACGTTGACAGGGGCGTCCTCGGGCGTCCTCGGGGCTCCGGAGGGCGCTGCTGTGGGCTCTGCGGCTCCGCTGAACTAGGTGGCTGCCTCCATGTCCTCCCTCGAACCATCTGATAGTTTTAAGCGGTGACAGGAGCAGAAAAGACCCCTGTAGCGGCGCTTCATTAATGTGCCACTTCTTAGCTATCATATGACAATCGCCTTGGGAGGAGGAGGAAGAGGAGGGGGAGCGGGGGCTGCAGAGGGAGGGGACTGAGCGAGACGGGAGAGCCTGACCAGCCCTGGTTTCTTTCACACCTATTTACATGGACACCTTGGCCAATAGAAATCACTTCCAGCTCAGGACTGGGAGAGGGGGAAGAGCCGCGGCCACTGGTGGGGAGCCGGACGCGCTGGCGGTGTGCGCGGTGTGAAGGTATGAAGAGGCAGCAGCCGCGGAGCAGGGAGCCAGGCGACCACTCACGTTCACAGACGGAGCTGCGGCGCAGATGATGTTTGACATGGAAATTGCTTGGCTGGGGTATTCTATTTCCTCTGCATTGTATGGGGTTTGTATTGTTAGCTAACTTCAGGCATGGCTTTGCTCTAAGTCGACCTTTTTCCTTCGCTGGGCACCCGGGGTAGGTTGCGTGGGTTATTATAATGAAAACATAACCCCCCAGTCTTTCAAGAGGCAGGTCGAAGTTTGATTTGACCTTCCTAAGCTGCTGCTTCAGTTCTGCACAGTTGGGTGTGTAGCTTGTAGAAAGTGGTGGGGTTTAAAATGCAAAATGTAATCGGACAGCCCCGATTAAGAGCCCATTTTGAATCTATGAATCTAAAGGCATTGATCAATTTTGTTTTTAAACAGATGATATATCTGGGCAAAGAGACAAGGTCTTTGCTTTAAAGTCTTCCAGCAATTTGGATGGACACAAGAGAGAGGCTCAGAGGCATTTGGGTCAGGGGAGTGTCCACAGTGTGTGGACCTGGGGAGGGCCCAAATTTGTTTGATACACTTTCTCACCAGAGGAACTACAGGGTTTCTTGGAAGTTTGTAAGTTTACATTTTACAGCTGGAACTCCCCCAACACACACACACACACACACACACACACACACACACACTTTTTAAAAATTAACAGGAATAATTGAGGGTTTAGAAAGCCCAGCAAAGCTACTTGCAGTCCTATTAAATCAACAGTACTTTCTAAGACTTGCAAAGAACCAGCAAGTTTTCCGTGTGTGTGTGTGTGTGTGTGTGTGTGTG